TATACAGGTATCACGTAAATTTGTGAAGAAAGGTGATACAGCACAGCCTAAAGATGGAGGAATTAACACTTATTGTAATGTGCTTGAGACCGTACGTAGAATTAAAGGCGTGTTGAGAAAGGAGGAGCTTGAAGTCTTTAGAGGCACGGTTTTTGGAAAACTGTTGGATGTTCCTGAAGTTAGATGGATTAGTAATGGGCTCTTAGTTGGTCTGTTAGAAAGATACAAGTTACCAAAGCAAGGAATAACTGGATGTAAAGAAATGAAGTTCAAAATAAAGGGGAGAAAAGTCTTGTTCACAAAGCCAGAGTTTGAACTTATTGCAGGACTGGGAGGCAGAGGGAATAGGATAACTTTGAATGATGAAAGGTTGGGTGACTTCGGGTTAAGGTATTTCAATACGGGAAAATCTGTTCAGCGATGTCATATTACGGATGCACTGCTGCAACACAACAAAGATGACCCCGGAGTAGAAACTGATGATGTTGTAAAGCTAGCATTGCTGCATCTGTTGGGCAATGTTATGTTTGGGCACGAGTCATGTGTTAGTTTTCCTATTGGATACATTAACCTAGTAGATGATTTGGATGCATTCGATAAATTCTCATGGGGTGAAGTTATATGGGAAGAGTTGTTAACACATGCTGGGAGATGTGCACAATCCCTTAAAGCTCGTGGAAGGGGAAGAGTGACGTTTGGAGGGTTTGTCTTTTCCTTACAGGTATGGGCATTTGAGAAATTTCCTTCCTTGAGAGAGTCGGGGCATTGTCAAATTGTAAAAGGAAGAGAAGATTGGATTCCACGTTGCCTAAGGTGGGAGATTTATGTAAAGATTTCAGCACAGTTTCTTCATGAAGCCATATTTGAAAATCCAGAGGTTCGTATTCTATGAAATTCTATTTTGATGAGAATATGTAGTAAATCTGGATTATATTAATATTTTTTTATTGTTTTACACAGTTTGAAGTGTCAAAGATTGTTCCAAGTGAGAGGGAGTTAAATGATCCTTCATTGGCATTATTTGCTAGTGAATACATAAGAAGGGGGATAGATGACACTGTGCAACATATTGAGAGCTTAGAAAAGGCTGCAACTGTAGCAAGAAATCTGAGTGTTGGTAGTGCTAAGAAAAGGAAACTTTCAACAACTCGAAATGCCCAAAACAAGCCAAAAGAGAAGAGAAAGAGAATTATTCACAGCATGAAAGGGGAATTTCTTCCAAAAAGAAAATCAAAGAGGAAGAAGGAGAGTCAGAGTCAGATTATAACAATTCTCAATGACATGAAAAAAATGCAGGAAAGCCAAGGGAAAGTGCTGAAGATGATCCTTGAGCAATTAGAAAGACAAAAGGGAGATGATACAGAGGAGAGGGGTTTTAAAAAGATAGATGATGAGATTGTCAATGAGAATGTTGAGAGTGAAGACATGGAAAATGAAAACATGGGGAAGGATACTATTTTGGAAGAAGATGACACTGACCATGGATATGTGGGAAAGGATGGTTGTAACACCCCAACCCGCATGACCCAAACCCGTGAGACAGCGGACCGGTGTGCCACTGAATTGGTATCCGAATTTGCGACATTTTCAAAACAATTTTAAACAAACGTTCTATCAATACATATAAAAATTCATCGGAGTAATTTAAAATAATGCGGAAGCCTTTTTAAAGTCAAACAACTTGGGATCTTGCCCGAAAACGTAATAAGCATTAAAGTTAATTAAATAAAGCATAATCAACAGATTAAAGAGACAGCCACGCCATCGTACATCTCCTCCTCAATGCCCTCTGGGATCGGCTCTAGGTTCATCTGTCTGATCACCTACGGACAGCAAAAAGGAAACAACGCTATCCGCTCAGCATTGACGCTGAGTGGTACTCCATTGTAGCACAAGAATAAACATAATAATTCAACAATTAAGATCGTGCATATGTTTATCCTTTTAATAAAAATCAATTCAACTTTACA